TGTGTGTGTGTGTGTGTGTGTGTGTGTGTGTGTGTGTGTGTGGCATCCCTGCCCCTCCACTGGTAAGCCTCAGCTCTGAATACCTTAAGCATATTTGTACTTGAATATTTATGATTGTGTTTTTATTTGGTGTTTTAAATAATTATTAATAAATTGTCAATTTGTTGATCATTGAACCTCGTCTCTGGATTGAGTATAGCGAACCTAAGGGCCTTTTTGGTGATTTAGTGTTATTTCCAGTATTCTCTGGGTGGAATTCCCAGGGTGGCGTTGTCGTTCTTTAAAACTGAAGAGTATTTACTTTATATCCCAACCTCGTCTCGCCACATACATATGTTTCTTGTTTTCCTTTCCCTCTCGCTGTGTGTCGCCTGGGCGGAGCTCATTGCGGGCTCCCGCCCCTGGCCCTCGCACCCGTGGCTCATCACTTCACCAGCGTCCACTACTTAAGGCAGTAGCTGGAAACATTTCATTGCTGGACTACTGAGTAACCTTGGATTCTCTTTCCCTTGGAGGCCTGGGCGAGCTGAGTTGCTGGTGTGTTGTGTTTTTGGAACTGTGTGAAGAGCCCCTGTTTCCGGACCTCCCCTGTGCCCCTCTGGATTTCCCCCTCGCTCTCACCTGTATATAGTTGCACCTGGTGTTGTGTGTTAACAAAAGGAACTGCATTTAGCTTCCCTGGTCTGCGCATGAGTCCATCCCGCCTTGTGACAGTTTTACTGATGGATACAATGTTGCTGTTGAGGAGTTGCTGCTGCTGGAGGGCAGGGCTGTGTTGATCTGAGAAGGTAGACATTAAAGAGTCCACAGGAGAGATGGTAGCCGATTAAACAAGTTATGAGATAATAATAAAATGTAAAGAATGGTGACAGCACTTGGAACCATAAGACAACAAAACTGTGAGACGTAAACTCGCTCTGCCTGCGACTCACTCTTTGCCTCTCTTCCATCTCCTCGTCTCATCTTCACTCTCCACTTCCTGTCCATCTGAGAACGAGGCACAAACTGCTACTGAATTAATCTATTATTGAGTTATCCACACTTAAAAACTCCTCCACCTAATCCATAATAAAGTAATGATAGAAAAATGTTAGAGAACGAAAACATTGTGTTTATTTGTTTTTATACTTGAATGCAGTGCAACAACTGGTGCAGGTGTCATTGTGACCTGTGCTCTTTGTAATCCAGCTGCTGACGGATCCGCTGCCTCACACGGCGCCTTCTGTCACTGTTTCCTCCTCGTGTCCTACAGAGCCTGTCTGGACAATATTATATCATGAGTAATAATTCAAAGAAATCTATACACATCAAACACGCACATACGGTGACATTTTATACCTTCTCAATGATTCTGTACATACTATGGCCACAAGTTTGAATCATAGTGCTGATCCAGAATCCTTCCCTTATTGTTTATTCCTAGTGCTACAATAATAAAGTAACGAGTATAAAACAATTAAGTAATAAATATAAAATAATGTATTTATGGCGATTCAGTTTGTTTGACTATCTGTGCAGGCAGAAAGTTTATTAAATGAGATACAATGTTGCTGCTGTAAAATCAGCATTTTATCATATTTGAAATATAAATGTAATATAACCTGTTTCTTAATGCATTTTCTTTAAAAACACGTGTGTGTGTGTGTTTAATCATAATTATAATAATCCATAATTATGTGGATATGCATATTAGATTATTCACAATTTAATAATTTATCATTTATATTATTTATATTTAGTGAAATATAAGCCCTCCTGAAAGGTTTGAGGTCGCTCAAACGGCAAAAAATGCGCGTGCACTTTCGAGCTCATTCCCGGCTCGTAACCAGCGCGCTCTGCCGTCAAGTGCGAGGATTGGTTAATGATCGTCATGTGACTGATGCAAGCTAGACCCTTTTATTTAGCAAAACTGTGATTAACCCTTGTATGGTGTTCGGGTCTGTGAGACCCGTGTTCCGTTTTTTTCAAAAGAAAAATTAAACAATTAATTATTTTTTCACGTGTAAATGTGTTGTGTCTTTCCACTCACTCCACTTGATTATAACTGATTTATTTATAACATTTTATATAAAAGAAAAACGAGAAGCACATTAATTCATAAATGTGATCTAACAAAGGTAAAGGGAAAAATTAACCATGTTTGCTGTTCATATGTCTTGTAATTGGGATGAAGTAAACATCTGTTGAGTAATTTAACATAAAATAGTTTGATAGTGTTAATTTGGAAAGCCAAAACTCTAGCGGGTCCACCAGACCCATGAACACTGGCTGAGTAACAAAAATACGAACACCACACAAGGGTTAATTGTTAAATATTATTGTTGAGGGGCACAGGCAGGAAAAAGGGCACCTGGGGCACCCATCAGGAAAGGGGCACGTGCTCAAGCCCCTTCCTCCCCCCACCCTCTGCACGTGCCTGGTCCGGTCCATGATGCTTTTTTGCAAATGTACCGCTCCTCCTGTCACTGACAGTTGCATTAGGTGCTTTTACACTAATATGCGATCTTCCTTACTGATGATGTTACGCATTAAAGATTTACAGCTCCTACTCCGACTGTTTGAAGTCAGCACATTTTGAGTTAAACAAGTTTGCAGCTTTTTAGAAGCTTTTTAGAGGCTTTGACACAAACTCAAAGTCACCAATTTGTTTACAATTCAGCATTTTTTTTCTGTTGACACAGAAAAGTGCAGAATCTGACAACTTCCACATGTACATGAAAATATGACCGATTTGCATGTGGCCCCAGAAATAACTGATATCCTACAAACAGATAAACATCCTGTTTGTTTCTTATTATTTACTATTAAGTAATTTTAGCTTTACTTTAGGTACTTGAAATATATTTCGATTATACAACTTTTGTACTATAAGCTACCTGTGTAGTAGTATAATGCAAGTATAATGCATCATATGTGCACGTCTAAATCTTTTGTAACCTGGACTCTTTTTAAGAAAAACTCCCAATCTCAGTGGGACTAGCTGCTCAAATAATCTCCCCTGGATGTCGTATCAGTGACTGATCACAGGTGTGTCGACACCTTTCCAGAGTTCATCTTCATAATAAGATCTGTACCCTGCAAGCGTGCAGTGGATGGTGTCGGGCTAAATATATCTGTGGGGGTGATGCGCTTCTGTGGCAGCTGTAATTTCCCCCTGACGCCATAAACCAGTGTTCCCATGTTCCGTCACCGTGAGACTCGTGCAATGAGTAATGCGTCTTTACCCGGTCTCTGCCTTCCGCAGCATGAAAACGCTAACATTTGGGCTGACCCTTGTTCGACAGTAAGTTCATCCGACGATAATATATGAAGTTCAGCTCCACAGGGTTCCGAGGAGCGCGACTTGTACTTTGACAGACTTCAGTCTGTCGTGTTTGGAGGGGTTTTAAAACGTGTCGCAGTGACGGACATGTGTTTATTTCTATCGTGGTCTTAACCGGAGTTCACGGAGAGCGGCTGCTAAGCTGAAACGAGGAATATATGCTAAGAATATATGATAAGAATATATGATAAGAATATATGATAAGAATATATGAGAGGACTGTGACTCTCCCAGCGGGTTTGTACCGTTTGTTTAGTCTGTGCCACGTTTCACGATGGCCACCAGGGGGCAGAATAAACGCGGGACAATAAAGGTTCATTCATTTACAAAAACAAAAAACGGATTTTTGTGGGTCAAAGGTAAAACCACTAACACACACCACATATTGTCCGAAGATACCATGAAAATAAAATCAAAATTAGCAGTGCAGACTCCAAATGTTTGTTGTCTTTGTAATTTATTTGCATTTCGCGTGTCACTGGGGTTCAATCTGTAACTGAGAACTTGTGAATTTCTTTTTATCCTGACATTTGTTGATTTATGCATTTATTTTGGCCATTTTGATTAAGTGATTCAAAATAACTGAATCATCAAAAAGATGTGTTAGTAGCCAGTCGTCATTAAAAGTATAAGTACAGCTTTGGGCATACAGAACGTCATGGCTGTGAGCAACACGTAATAAAAGATTTGCATTCATGTGGTAACAGATGTGAAATCAAACGAGTGCCTGTTGAGCACCAAACTCTGTCAGTGTTATCTCCTGTCATTTATTTCCTACAGTGGGGAAACTCAGTACAACAAAGATGGTCTGCTGCAAGGTAAAGAATGATTCTAAATATTTGTTTCATTAGAATAAAATTGCTGGTTTTGGGTAAAAAAAAAAAAAAATAGAATAATGGAGCTGCTTTATTCTAATTTCCCCTTTTCCTTCCACCCAGGCCAGGCTATAGACGCACCTTTGTCTGAGGCTGGGCTGCAGCAGGCAGAAGCTGCAGGGCGATACCTCGCCCATGTCAAGTTCACCAACGTGTTTGTTAGCAACATGCTGCGGGCAAAACAGGTAAACTATGAACCTTATACAACAGCAGTGTAAAAAGAGCGTCTGGCCTTTCAAAAGATCCAGTTTGATTGATTGATTTTATCTTGTGAGTCTGTGGATTTGTTTCTGTGTGTCATAAAAGTTCACAGGTGTGGAGATGAGATCTAAATGAAGGCTCAGTTAGACGATAAATGCAGTCGGACCTTTGAACACTGAGCACTTATGTAATTCTGACTGAGTACTCGTGGCAGACTTATAAAAGCCACCCTCCTCCTCTCTGTAATCAGATTACATTTTGTTTTTGTTTTTCCATCCAGACCACCGAAGCAATAATGAAGCACAACAGCAGCTGTTCCGCTCTAGAAATGGTGTGTGACCCTCTGCTTATAGAAAAGGCGAGTGACCTCAAAACTTACCAGAAAACTTATTGATCAGATGTTTACGTGCCAATGAATAAGTTGATCTTTCAGAGCTTTGGGATAGCTGAAGGGAGGCGGTTACAGGACGTCAAAGACACGGCCGAGGCGGCTGGTCAGACCTTTCCAGGCTTCACACCTCCGGGAGGAGAGACGCAGGAGCAGGTGAGGCTGAGGTTGTCTTATTGTAAAAGGAGAGAGTCTTGGTGAAATTCTGGATCACTGGTAATGAAAATAATAAATAATATTCAGGCCTATTGCCAAGACTGAATTATTTACTTTCTTTTTATTCTTGGGAAACAACAAAATGCTAAAAACAAAAAGATGAAAAACACTCACAGTTCTATTGTTTTTCCACTCTTCATCTCAAAAACAGATGTGGCACTGGTGATAAACACAGGCCATAAAGTCACCCTATTGATGTCAGGTCCTTGCATCCCTGCTGATTATCTGGTTTTCTGTTATTTATGTGACATTAATAACATCTGTAATCTTTTGAACCCGACCCCTGAACCATAGAGCGGCTCAACATACCCAGGGTATCTTTCTTTTATCTGGATACACGCTATCATCGGCAGTAAGGATAAGCGGTCACATAAAGCTGGCTGTCAACTCGTTTAGTTACCGAGGGTTTCCCACCCGCATTCACATGAAAGATGTGGTGTTGGCAGCATCTGACCAATCACAGCTATGCATAAGAATACCAGCAGTTGATCAGCTGATTTTACAAAGAGAATTATATAATAGCAAAAACATGAAGAAGTTAAACACAGCACAGAGCACTTTAATATTAATAGTGCTGAGTTAGTCATCAAAACATGGGAAAATCTGATGCATTATAATCAACTGTTTGATTAAACGAATGTTTCATGCTTTCAGCTGCAGCCTTGGTTTGAAACGCACATTTGATATAAGGACAGCAAGTGGGATACAAATAGATGGGATCATGTGTTCATGCTTTAGTTGTAAAACTGTTTGCAGCCAACAGGAAAAAATAAGCTCTATCTAAGAATGTATATTTCGTACTGATCAACAGGGAAATGCAAAGATATTAGATGCTGCTGAAAAACTTTAGACCCTCACAGTGATGCAAATAGAGAATCGATTGGTCAGCTGGTCAACCGGACCTGCTTTGGAGCAGGTTAGCATAGGTTAGCGTGGACATACAGAAAACCCAGGGTTAGCCCTGACGTTGCCCATATAATATGAAATCTTGCTTCTTAGCACAGGCCTCTGGTTTTATTTATTTATTTACTTCATGTTTGTGTGTTAATGTGGTTCCTGGTAACACATCGTGTATAAAGATCAGTCACAAAGGTGCATTTGAGTGCTTGGTTCCAGCACGATATAGCCATAAAGTTTTACAGTTGTTTAGTTAAGATTAAAATGAAGTCTCGAGTTCGAAGTACTCACAGGTCACGAACTACAACATTTTGATTCCATCGCAGAATTGTCTGTAGATTATTTCTTTCCTGAGTTTCCTCGTATCTCTGTTTGCTCTCTTCTTCATCCTCTAACGCTCATCCAGTTCAGGGCTGGAGCCTGTTCTCTGGACAGGTCACCGGTCTGAGCAAAGACAGAGAGAGACACAGAACTGAGGCTGCAGTGCTAACCAGCTCACCGCCGTGCTGCCCAGTTCCTTTATATATTCCTTCAAATATGTTTCTGATGCAAAAGATCCCACTTAAGCTTTTTTTTCTAAAGTGGGATCTTTTGCTCATATTACACTAAAATTAAATCTTTCCGCACACTCTGGATTGATACCAGGTATCTTGGTGTAATGTACACATACTCCCACTAGGTGGCAGGAAGCATTCTCCTCCTAGCTCTGTAAAGTTATGATTAGCATATCATTGTCTTCTTTGCATGACTGAATGTCTGAACTGAGTGTGTGTGTGTGTGTGTGTGTGTGTGTGTGTGTGTGTGTGTGTGTGTGTGTGAGAGAGGACAGGATGTGAGGAGGAGGAGGGGTTGTTGGAGGGAAGGATGTTCTATTTCCAAGATACCTCGTCAGACTTCGTCCATTATGTTCTAGCTTGGACATGAACTCTGGTCAAATCCAGGACGTGACCAGCACATCGTGATGGTGACGCTGATCTTCAAATATAGATTTGACACAAGCACTCAAATCCTCTGCAAAAGGCCTGCTCCCTCCCTTTTTTAAACAAGTTGCAGGTTGTTGCATCAGAAAGATGTGCAGTTTTTATACCAAAGGACGTGACTATGAATAAAACGACCTTTAACCTTTATCCCTCAGCGCCGTAGGAAGCCTGGGTCTCATTCTACAGTATGTACAACAGAAGCAGGAGAACTTTTCATAACAGATTTTTGCTCTGCTCAGGTGAAGATGCGGTTCAAAGAGTTTCTGGAGAAAATGCTTCAGCAAATTGGGGCCGAACACTTCAGCGAGAGAGGGCAGGACGACTCGTCGTTACCTGCTCCGTCACAGACGACTCCTACTGAGGGGAAGGCCGACGATGGGGTCAAGGATATCCCCGTCCATGCTTTGGTGGTCACCCATGGGGCTTACATGTGCGTGGTGGTGCGCTACTTTGTGGAGGAATTGCACTGCCGCTTACCTCTGGGTTCTGATCAAGCACACGTGTTCTCTCTGAGTCCGAACACGGGCCTTTGTCGGTTTATAATAACCGTGAGGAAACAAGACGACGAGTTCATATTATCAGGGATCCGCTGTGTTTTTATCCACAGAGGGGACCACGTGAAACGCAGATCGTGACCTGTTACGTCCTTTTCTTAGGGTTCGTTTAAACAGTAATTAAAGCACCTTCACTCAGCCTCGGATCGTTTGTGTTGCAGGAAATTTCATCATCGCGTTGTTATTGTCTGGCTGTTCGTTGCTACATACGTGGGCGACTCTGTGGTTTAGCGAGGCCTCGTTTCTGAATTTCTCCTGTAGGGGTCCAGAAATCTGCACAAGAACTCGGAGTAGTGTTTACTCTTTGGAAATCAGTTCCTTTCCCATTGTTGTGAATTAACACTTGAGTCACTAAGGACGGACGAATGTTACGAGCCCATTAAACTGTGGAACGTGTGAACGGTCTCTGTGTGGCTGTTTTTCAGTCCACACATTTATTTAGAGTAAAAGCTGCTGTTTCTTAGCTAAAGGAGTCTGTGGCGTGTGCGACTACTGAAATGCTTTACTGATGTAAAAATGTACGTTTGCACCTGTGATGGTTCTTTCCTGATAAAGTCGTTTCAATAAACTCAGCTGGTTGTTATTTATTCATCTTTTCATGTTGTGTACCTTTAATTTTCATTCCTGTAAGTGGGCTTCATTATTTAGGTCATTTTAGTTGTTTTTCTTCTGTTTTACTTCAGTTGGACAATATTTGACCGCGATTACATAACCAACTGGCTGCCTTCATGATAACTGTGTGACACTTGTTGTCAGTAAGATTTTAAAAGAGTGTTTTAATCTTAAATCACTCAAATGCTTTCAGCTAACTGGGACTTCCACGTTTGCAGATCCCGTTTATTTTCGTTTGACAGGCATCTTAGAGGAGGAGGACGTAATCTGACAATAATGCACATGAGAAATGTCTCAGCCGTGCGTTTGAAAATGATTCATCTTCTGCTTAAAACAAGAAACAAAAGATGTTCCAGATACTTACAATTTATTTTATTAACATCAGAAATGATACACCCACCAATATATATAAATAATAAAACAGTAGGCGAGTAAGGACGTCATTAAAACAGCTCAATAAATAAATACGTTTGTATTGCTGTGACTGTTGGTGTCCAGCACCTGATATATTTTTGACATTTTTATGGAAGCTGCATACAGGAGATATTTTTTCCCAGTCACAGCAGCATCATTCGTCTTTTTGTTGTTCTTGTTGCTGTTTTTCAGCAACACTTCGAGAATTGTTGGATGATTTAAACAATTATTTGAACAAATATTGACATATCTGACCCAGGGGTTCAAATTCTCCTCACCAAAGAGGTTAAAGGACCGCAGCAAACTGGACCAAACTTATGTCGAGTGTTCCCAGACCATTATCTTCAAACAGGAGACCTGCACGAGCCCCTGTGATGTGACTTGGTTTATGAGTACATACAAAAGGGTTAGCTCCATAAAAACTCCAGGAAGGTCAGTATCTCCCCACCCAGCAAAGCATGACTTTACGAGTGCAAAGGCACCGTTTGAGTTCATTAGAAACGTGATCTTCCTTTTTTGGGACGGTGCAAACTCCTCAGACGACCAGCAGATTCAAAGCCACTCACTGTTACTGTCACCCTGTGAGAAGCTCACACACCATGCATCAGACACCGAGACATAACCTGTGTAGATATATGCATATATAAATAGCATAGATGTGTTTTAATATTTTGAAAAAGACAATCCACTAATTCTAGTTGTGGACCTGAAGCAGACACTGTTTTACTGTCCAACCATTTCACATCCCAACAAACAAAAACAGACACCTGCATGTGCATCACTGAAGCGACGGCTGTTATCTGTGTCCAATAAACTTTTGCTTTGGAACCGACTTCAGCCTCGACGACTGTGCAGAGTTTAGATGTCAGTTCGGCCTCTAATCAACAGGTCTTTTCAGACCTTTTCAACCAGGTCTAGAAATAAGGGACTAAGGTTTCTATGGCTCTTAATGGTCAGCCAGATTTATCCCGGGAAATATCTTCTATGGATGAGTGATGCTGCGCGACTTAGGCTTGGTCTGCCCGGTCTGCAATGTTAGTCTTCACAGGGCTTCCAGGCGCGTTGGGCTGTAAGACGGACAGGGGGTCGTCGCAGGAGGCGATGGTCTCTTTAGACACAGCGCCTGTCTGAGCCTGTTCAGGCCGAACGTGATCTGCATCTCTGAGATCTTTTCCAGAACGTGAGGGATTTGCTTCTGTTCGTAAAGGATCAGAGGGGTTCACCTCTTCGCTCCTTCTCTGTCTTTTAACCGAGGGATTCAAGAGCCTCTTCAGCGGGGCTAAGTAGTGTTCAGGCGGCTCGCCATGTGCCACTCTCAGATGACCTCCTTGTAGTCTGAGCAGCCTTCTCCCGCTTGTAGAGTAAAACACATGATGGTGGCTTACTAAATCTAACCAAATGTGCTGGAAGAGACAGTCTTCTCTGTCCTTTTGCCTCTGTTTGGTAGAAAGAAAATGTTTATGGTCTGTTTTTGGCACTTTGTGACTTCATTCAAACTAAGAACATCTAAAACATACTCACAGATATGTGCAGCTTTCCCTTAAAGTCCATGCAGATGAAATGTTTTCTTCTCAAATCAAATATTGACACAAAGTTGCTGGAAGCTGTTCTCACAGGCAAAGTGACTGAAAAAAAAAGCACATTTTCTATCAACAAATGTAACAAGAAAAATTATTTGATTAACAATATTCTGCTTTTAAATTTGAAAATATATTTTGAAGTTTATAAATGTACAGAATTAATCTCAAACTTTCTTTTTTGTTTTGTTTGGTTCAGTTTTTCTCTGATTTTCCTGAACTTCCTTTCAGATCCAAATATTTACCCTCTTCAAAATCAAGTAAGCAAAGTCGGTCATACTTAACAGTTTCCTTTATTACTGCAGAGGATTGTCTGTATAAGCGGTTCCAGTTGTGTGTTTATACGCAGACATACCCAGAAAGCCGCTGTAAATGCTGTGTCTCATTGATCCATTCAGCACAGAGTAGGAGCGTCCCATACCGGCAGATGGATCTGCATTTGTTGCCGCGTTCAATCGGCCCTGCTGATGTTGAGCTAGTTGTTCTGAATCCTGGAGCCTTGGCCTACAATCCACTGGTACAGACACATGTCCAGCAATCAGGATGACTAAGAAGGAAGCCAGTTGCATGATCGATGGCAATTAAAGGCCTTCTAAAAGCACGAATGTTCAGGATGGTATGTGGTCCGCTACTGGAGGAGGAGAAAGTCCAACGGGTCTATTTAAACAGAGGGTCAATAAACTGGCTAACTCATTTACCAAAATGACTCCAAGCTTGGCTGCAGCAGTTAAGGGTTGCCTAGATGCAATTGAAGTAAGCTGTATGGAAACACGATGCATCACACATGCATAAAAAACAGTTTTCTCCCCTACGTGGAAGTAAAATTTCTCATGTGTTCAAGTTTAACTGACAAAATCTAGCACAGAGCTTAAAGTCTAGAGATAAGAAAGTGCAGAAGAAGAAATGACTGACGGTCGTTCTTTGACATTAATGACGGGTTTTCACAATTTTTGCTCATATTTCTTGTTACTTGACCTCACGTGTTGTTAGAAATGTAACATTTATGAAAGCGTTATATAAAGATCAATTAGATTCGTCTAAAATTGGTCGTTTCTTAATGACTGGCCCTCTGTTGCGTCACAGTAGGCTGACTGCCATCCAGGCTAAATGATTTATCCTGTGCTTATTATTAAACTGCACACACTTCCGCTGCTCCCGTTATCTTTTACAAGAGTTCCCGCCCTGTAATTATTCCTGGAAAGCCTGGCCTCATTCTTATTCATGTCTATTTAAAATGGGAAAAAACTTTCAAACTCAAACATCAAAGGAAGATTACATTTGAATACTAATGTAATGTTTATTGAAAATTGTGCAGATGATCTGCGATTATATGGCATATATTTATAGCAGAAGCTACATAGACTAGCAGTATGTCACATATTCATGAGGAAAATGAAGATTCATGTTACTGTATGGCCTTTAATGAAATCACACACTATTCAAACTGATGCTAGTGTTTGTTTTTGCTTATATTGTAATTGGAGCGAAATCATATTTTTTCAGATTAAAATTTAAATGAGATCAACATAAAGGGCTGCTGTATTCTTGACCCAATTTCTTTGCAACTACGCTTCCACACCTGCAAAAAACCAAAAACATGCATAGTGTGCCTTCCTCTTCACCAGGAGGGGGCGCTACATACTGACTCATGAAAAAGACTTTGGCTGCAGGTTCAACATTTGCGCTGGTACTCGGATTTTCTCTGGTCTTTGCCGTCATTCCTGTCATGCGCGTGTGAAGTAACTTAGACACAATAAAATAAAAGATTCGCAACAGATTTTACAAAAACGTATTTTATTATCGTCTCAGGAATACAGTTGACTGCTGTGCACAGCACATACGTACAAAAATAAAAGGAAAACCATTTGCAATATATTATTTTACTTACTCATCATCATATTTTTCAGAAACAAATGATTGGAGAAGTCTGTTGTTTCAAACTAATTTACAATCATTTCAATAATCGGAACTAAGGCAGAAGGTGAGGTATATGTTAAAAAAGAGGGGGTGGACTCGGAGGAAGTACTCTCCTTTCAGTGCAGGAATAGAAAAGTGAGAGAGAAACACAAAGGCTGCCGGTGGCACACCGGGAGTCTGATCCCAGAGCCGCCCGCAGGCCTCCGGTTCCCTACGAACCGACACGTTTTGAAACCAGCTGAACAGATATATAATGAGCGCAATGGCAAAACCCAGACCTGGATCCGGATCCTTAATCAAAGGGGTAAGACAAACCTAGTCCGTTCAGAACACTACATGCATAATGAGGACTTGAGGAAGTAAAGGTTAAGGACCTTTTCTCCGTTACTGCGGTATCATACAACCTTTTATGCCTCTGAACAGCAACATGCAAAAGTCGTACAATTGCGACAGTAAATGTTTCCTTAGTCTTAGAAAGTAAAAACCAAGCTTAGTTGGTGTGTGCACAATATCGATTTCAACAGAAAGCATCACGTTGGAGGAACTGCTGTGGCGTTCCTGTTCCTGCAGTGCTGACAGTGTCTCTCAGGGCCGTACATAAACTACTCGTCATCAAAACCACGTGCTTTTATTCTTTCGCGTCAGCTAACTGCTTCTGCGCTCCATTAAAAACGCACCTTTTATATATTTTGGATAAATTAGCAAAAATAGCTCTCTGACCTTTTCCTCATGTGGTCAGCCAAGAGAAAAAGCTACATGTGATCATTGCTTCGATGGCTGATCGCTCATAATGACAAATAAGATGCTCAAGGCAAAATCCCCCACAGACACTTAGAAGTGGTGTATTCAGATACACACATGACATCCTGGGCATTTCAAGTTGCTCTCTTGGATCACAGTATTCAGAAATAAGCATCCCCTCTCCTGGAAGCGTTTGATTCTTTTTCACGAGGCCTTTTGCTACATAGCTGTTGTACAGTCAGCGCTTTTCTGCTCAACTCACTGGCTTTGCTTCCAGTCGCTCTCATCTTTGTCGTCTCCGTTACTACCGTGCGTCAGTTTG